CTGAACTGTGTGAGGAGGCTTAAAAGATAAGAGTTACTGCAAGGTCTGTACAGGACTCTCTGGGTCTTGAACTTGAAGATAAGAATGTGCCTTTTCTTTTAGCATAGGGAGCGTGTCTCTTACACAGAAATTTCATTTTTTGCTTTTGAGAAACAGCACAGAGGTCAAAATAATTTTATTTTATCCCTACTGTTTTTCAAGCATTTTCGCTTAACTAGTCTTTCAGAAGAGCTGAGGAGTTTTGGAAAAAGGAGAGTTTAGCTTAGAGAAGGATAACGAGGAGAAAGGACAGGAAAGAGGAGGAAAAGCTCAGGAGGGGAAGGTCTCAGCTAGCCTCGAGGCAGAGTTTTGCACTGAGGCAATCTTTGAATCCTGAATGTGTTTTGGAGTCTAGAGAGCCCAGTTGAAATAAAGTGTCCTGGTTGGAGTATATGATTTATAGCCATGGTCTTTAGTTTCAAAAATAACAAACTGTTTGAACGATCCCCATAATCTTTGAACATATCACCAGTTGGAATCCCAGGGAGGGGGAGGATATCTCAGCAGGCCTTCGAACTTTGAGAGCCCATATCCTAAACAAACTTACCGAGGTGATTCAGTTTAATGCTGAATACACAAAAGCCAAAATAAAACCCAAGTGCACCATTGAATCAGAAGATAAGTACGTGCCTGCCAGAAAGGACAGATCTTCTTTACCAGGAGAAAAAATTCCTTGTCTATAGGAGACCTCACAATGAGAAGGGAAAAAAATCCCTCAGACACAGGAGGTCTCAACCAGGAAGGGGAAAGAGCCCTCCTAAACAATTCCCAAATAAAACCAAACTCGACTAAAGGAAACAAGAGTGTGGTCTTGACAGCTGGGGGTGGGGGGTGGGGAATGACCCATGGAAGTGGGGGTGATGGGGCTGCTCAAGGGGCCTGAGCGTGGGGACTTCAGGCCCCAGTTCCAGGGGCCACTTAATCTTCCCGAGGTGAGTCAGCTTCTGATCCCGCGTTCTCACAACCATGTATGCCAAAGTCAAACAAGAACACAGA